CTGGTGTGATCAGGATCAGATGGAAGGATCACTTTAAAGGGTCTCTTTTAACATTACACCCTGGAAGCAATCCTTTCCAGTGCCATCTGGCGCAATCTTCCCGTTACCATCTGATCGCACTCTATGAACAGCCAGTTCCACTCTTAAATACCTGTAGGATATATATAGCTGCTCCTGCATTTTACAAATTCTGTCACTATTCCACCCCTTCCAATAGATTCTTCTCCTTAAGTCAGGCACCAGCCATCGACTGCTATAAAATGAGGGGGAAATGCCTTTACAAGCTGACTTACCTGAAAGCGTAACAATTCCTCCATCTGAACAATAAACCATCATGGCTTCACCCTGTCCCTTGAAGCTTGACTAACAGTTTAATCACACAAGAAACATGTTTAATTCTGGGGCACACACCATGAAATTTAAGATGAGGAAGACAAACTTAATACATGTTTGTCTTGGTTCATAGCCTAAGCTGATGCTTCTGCCTGGCCTATGATAGCAATGTTGTGATGTCACAAAGGAAGTTGAATCTTACATTTTCAACCAATCAAAGAGCAAAGTAGAAATAAAGTCCAAGTTCAGATGTTTCTTTTTACATTTTGAGAGTCAAGGAAGATAGGAAACAACCAGAACTAGCGCCCCGAACAGCTGCAAGTATATCTGATTGCATGGTGTAGATTCTGAAAGTTTGCTTTTTCTGAAACTTAGGTTCTAATATTACATTTCTATTCTCCAATCCTATGCAGGTCTACTCAGAAGGAAATTCTGTTGATAACTCAAGAGGACCTATGTCTATATAACTATATTTAAAACTGTACCATTTCAACCATAGCCTCTTACCTTCTGAATATACAATTACGAAACCTGCTTATACAAAATATAGGGCACAATCTGTATAAAACACAGCATTCTAAAGAAAATAGGAATTGCAATTGTTATTTTCTTCTTCGAAGTTCATTTGGAAAAAACAGCAGGGGGTCAACTCGTAATTCTAGTATCTAACATTTTTGAAAACTGGGAAATACTCTTCCCTGCAGCACAGCTGTTCAGCTGCATGTCATGGGAGGAGGGGATATTTAGACAATACTGTTAGCACTGCCAGATTGTTGGGGGGTCACTCCCAGCCCTTTTTGACACTACTTCCAAGATCACTGCTTTCCCCATGATCTAGCGGCAGATAGAGTAATCTCTGTGGAGGCAACTTTAAACAGATTGGCCTATCCATATTGTTCTATATCATCTGTTCCCCAACATCGCGCGTCACAACATTTTTAAGCTAGAGGCCTGCTTTTTCCATTCACTATGAGGAGTCTCTTCTAAGGTATCATTGCTATTTGGCTGCAATTCCACAAACGTAAGCTGTGTGGTAACAGTGACAAGTACTTGGCACACTTCAGTGGTTCTCAAATTGGGGTCCCCAGTTGTTCTTGGACTAAAACTCCCAGAAGCCTTCACTACTAGCTCTGCTGGTCAGGGTTTCTGGAACTGTAGCCCAAGGACATTTGGGAGCCATTGCTATAAAGCTACTTAAGCCCTCTCGCCCCCTTAATTTTAGGATATGTAGATATTACAAGAAGTTACTTTTTGAGGTGAAAGAAGATGGTGTTCTATTTGCAATGTAACACAATGATCTTCCTTTTCCAGGGCAAATGAGCAACATTTCCTGTCACTGCTTGTTCAGGATGGGGAAGGGCAGAGTGCTACCCTTGCATTACTCCTGGCCTACTCTGATTCCATGACTGCTTATACTGTATATCCTCTTCCATTTTTTAAAGAATGGCTGTGAACTTGGGTAGGCCATATTTAGGGAACCAGTTAGGGAACGCACAGAAGAGCTTTTAAACAGCTTGGGGTAGGCCATATTTATTGTGCCTACTACACCCCAGTTAGGGAACGCACAGAAGAGCTTTTAAAGGAAAGGGAATTGCCAGTATGGGACCAGGATACCCTAAGCAGACGATTTCAAGGTTACAGTGGGGTCTCTACTTAAGAACGTCCCTACTTAAGAACAATCCAACTTAAGAACAGCTCCATTTGCTAAATTTTGCTTCTACTTGAGAACAGAAATCCAAGAAAAGAACAGGAAAAAAACCTTTCCTGCTCTTTTTTTAACCTTAGGTCATCTTAGGTTAAAAAAAAATTCTCCCCCTAGTGGTAGAGTACGTATTAACCAGCTTTGCATTAGCTCCTATGGGAACTAATGCTTCAATGTACGAACGCCCCTCTACATAACAAAAAAACAGCCAGAACGGATTAACTGGTTTTCAGTCCATTCCTACGGGAAATGCAGATTCAACATAAGAACTTTTCAACTTGAGAACCACCTTCCAATACGGATTAAGTTCTTAAATAGAGACCCCACTGTACTTTGAAGAAATAAGGCAGTTATTTTTTAAATATATCTTGTTTAGGTCTGAATGTACAGTATTAAAGTGAGTAGTTCTACATCAAATGTACAAAGGATTTTTTTTTTAAAAAAGGAACATTAAATCTAAAAATTCCAATCCACTCAATAGTTATCATTGTTGTGTAGTTTGTCTTTCACCCCTCTTTTCCTCCAAACTCTACATAATGGGGTGTGACACTTATATCCTGGTACCATACTAATCAGTCAAAAGGAGCACACACTGATCCTAAAATGAACAGATTATCATGTATTTCATGAATTGCATTTTCTTATTTTTATGGGACTGAGGATAACGAAAAACCTGTGTAGCTATTTTAATAAAACATACTAATTTTGGCAAAGAGTGTAACTATAGGGCCAACTTTCTGTATATGCACTTCATATACAGGTTTATAATATCTTAGGGGGTTAAGGATACAACTTAGACTGTAGATAAAAGCACACAATCTATCAACAAGAAGAATTCTAAATGGCATACTCATTTTAGACTCTGAATTTCTAGAACAGGAAAGGATGTCATTTTCATGGAGTTAGCAGAGTTCTCTGCTGCACAGTAAAATTCTTTAGGTAAAAAGTTTACAAAGAGAGTGGCAATGATATTCATTCTTCCTTTTGATGTGCAGGCAACAAATAAAGTCTGTGTGGGCATCCATATATGAAAGTGAGAAGAGTTGGAGCATATGCCCATTCCACTCGATTCTTCTGATGTAAAACCACACTAAGGTGACAAAACATTGTGCCAAACAAATCCTCTCTTTGGACTAGTGGAATCTGCACCAGTGATGATCCTTGTGGACTGTCTCCATTTACCTCTTCACTCATTGCCTCCAAAGCCCTGTATAACCCAACACTTCCATATGCTAAATGAAACCAGGGGTGGACATATACTGCATGGACCCCCATTTTTTTCCTGCTATTTTCCAGGTTGCTTGTTGCAAGCTTAGACAAATATTCATGGAGGTTATATTGTTCAAACATGATGCGCTTGTTCTGACTGCAGATTTCTTCTTGTTTGACTTCTTGACAGAGCTCAATTCATCCTTCAGGGTCTATGCTTTAACACATAAAACTTTTTAAAACATAAAAAGAGTCACAAAGTTGAGAGAGCGAATGCACACAATAGAAATACAAGCTGGAACAATGCTGAAATGCATCTTATTATTATGCATGAGAGACAAAGAAGGAAATAGGAAAAAAACAAAAAACAAATCATGGTTTAAAGCCATTAGCATTTTCCCACCAGAACTCAGCAAAATTTTAAAAAAATCAAAAGTAAAGCAAAACAAACAAAGCAAAATGAAGGAGTTTTCTACCACACCACTGTCAAACCACAATGCTAAGAAACAACTACAGAACTTGGGAAGTCCAAGCATGGCAAGCAGATATGATCATGGTCTCTGTTTAAAAAAATAATAAGGATTAAAGAAGAGTATGATACAAAAAAAGCAGTATCATTCATGACAGCTGAAAAAGTCTTAAGAGGAAAAAAAATCAAAATCAAAATCAGAGCAGCCAGTAGAAAAATGAGAGTACAAATAATAGCTATAGTAATGTCCATGTTTGCCAGCCACGTTGCATAAATTCAAGACGGCACAGTCACCTGTCTGCTTCCGCTTAACACAGGAGTGATGAGCTGGTCTAGCATGTTTCATAGCAGGTTTTAAAATGATTTTCCTGGAGGGAGAGTGAGCCTGAACTTCAGCTTTTTTAGCAAGTTCAGCTTTCTTATACACAGCTATAGACAAGAAAACAAGAGCATATAATCAGCAATAAAAAAAAGTAGATACGTTAATATATTTCAACACAACAACAAACTGGCGGTTTAATGCCCAGTTAGCCATTCAGTCAGGACTAAAGTCAAGGGATTCTGTCACTGGCGCTCTAAGGCAGCAAGTGATTCTTCTAAGAACAGGTGCTATTCAAAGGGCACAGGATCGTACCCTCACACTCACATCATGCCTTCCGTTTGTGACACTGCAGTTACACCCCTTTCACTGTCAGGGCCTCTCCACCAGCCTCAGTACTGGGCAACGTCCAGGGTTATGTCAGGAAGAACAAAAGGAATTGCAGTGTTGAATACCCTGGAAGACTCTTCAAGCTCAGTGATCAACCTGGAGGTTCTACGCATAACTTGGGGATGACCAATGTGCCTGCATCCAGAATGCTGGATACAGAAAAGGATTCTAGTTTCTGTGGAATGTTTAACCTCAGGAGGGCCCACCTAACAAGTCTTGGCTTTCATTCTCAGTTGCCCTCCTTGGTTTATAAGAGTGAGAAAACTCACAAGAAAGCTGTCGTTATCAATCAGAGGGGCTTATTACCAGCAGGCTATCCAGAGTGCTAATAGTTTCAAACTATGGAATTATGGAATGCTGGACCAAATTTTGTCTTCTTTAAGACACTAGTCCAAGATGCTTCTCTCCCTCCTCCCCCGAAGCTGATTAATCAAATGGTCCGATTTACTGATTATTTTTTGTTGTTCTCTCTTGTGGTGGAAGGGGGATGATTTTTGTCCCTTAGATGATTTTTGAAATGGTGGATTTTTAAAAATTTGTTTGCCTTTTAGCAAATTTAATATATACATTTAAAATTGCTTTAAAGAATCCTTTTGGGAGTGGGAAGAAATCCATAGAGTTAATAAACTAAATCACACTAAGTTCATCTGTGACTTTAATGTTGGCCTTCTCTCTTTCAGATACCGAATCACAGCAGAAAGAGAATCAGCATATCTGAAGTTTACCTGATTCATAAACGGATAAAACTGGAGTGACAGAAGTAATACAGACTGAATGTCTTGCTGTTAACACAAATCACTGTTATTGATTAAAATGTGTAACAGTACCACTAAAACATTCTTCTATAAAAACAGATGAACAACTCACAGTATGGCATGAAAGGAAATAGAGTGAGTATTATGAACCTTTTTTCCTTCTCACTTCATCTCTGGAGACTGTGCTAGGCTCCTTTTTAGCTACTTTTCTTTCAGGAGTAGAAATCCTGCCTCTCCCAGTTTTTAAAGGTTTCTCTTTTTTATGCTTATCGAGAGACGGTCTCCGCAATTCTCTCTCTGCCTTCTCCTCTTTAGGAACCGTCTCTAACTGTTCTGTCATGATGCTCCTATCATCATCTGCAGGATCAGAGCAAATTACAACAACAACAACAAAAAAGAGAATTAGTAAAAGAGTTAATTGTGTTTCAGTTGTGTATGTGTTTTTTCTTTTTTTAAAAAAAAAACATCAGTTTCTTTCGAATTGATATTATTTTAACAACATTCTTCAACGCATAATGATGATTCTTATTGTTTCATTATTAGGAAATTATTTCAAAATCAAAGAAAAAAGAAAAAAGGATAAGGCACACCTTGAGTATCCACCCAAATGCTGTCGGTGTCCAGGATCGAGTCATCAATGGTTGTTTCATCTTTATAATCATCATAGGTCTCGGTCTTGTAATCAGTACATGGTACTTCTTCCCTCTCAGGTGAGCCAGGAGCTTCAAGAGAGCTTTCCTTTGTTTCTTCTTCTACGTCAGCTACCATCTCGGCTTCCGTGCTCACTTCTCCTTCAGGGTAGAAGCCTTCCTCTCCTGTGTCAGCCTGCAGTGCCTCAGCAAAACGCACACTATGGGAGCTGGTTTCTCCCTCATCCACTGTTGTCTGTACTACTGTAATGAAGTCATCCTCAATGGTAACAACAGACTCTATTACTCCTTTGAGCTCAGGCATCTCCCCAGGTGCAGTTTTACACACCTCCACTTCTTTTTCAACAGTTTTCTCCAACGCCTTTTCTTCACCTCCTTTCTCAATCTCTTCTTCTTCCTGCTTATGCAATTCTTTTTGTTCCTGCTCAGTCTTTTCCTCTATTTCTTCTCGAATTTCTTCCTCTTGTTTTTGTTTACTCTCTTCCTCATGCTCATCTTCCAATTTTCTCTCGTCCTCGTGTTTTACTTCTGTCTTACTCTCTTTCTCATGTTCTTCTGCTTGCTTAATCTCTTCTGTCTCTTCTTTTAGCTGAACTTCTTGTTTTATCTCCTCTAATTGTTTAATCTCTTTCTCTTGTTCTTCTCCTTCCACAGGTTCTCTTATGTCCTCAGATTTTAAATCACATGGTAAAGTTTCAGTTTTCAGGGGCCCAGCTGACTCCAGAGACTCTACGTGATCTTCCTCAGGCTGTGGTATGTTCTCCATTTGAATTTCAATTGTTTCTTCTTGTGCAGCTTTGGATACATCTGCAACTGGTTGTTCAACTAACAGCTGTGATGCAGTCTCTTCTTCTGACAGAGATGGACTTTCTGGTTCTGTTTTGCCAGCATATGGTTTGGACACTTCTCCAGGCAAGCCCTCTGGTGCTTGGTCATTATCACCACTTGACTCGTACGATTCTTCTTTATCAACTGCTTCTTGATGCACCAGATCAGGCTTACCCCCCTTTTCTTTAACTTCAGATTCAGACAGCTTGGTGGCATCTTTGATAGAAGCGGTTTCCTCTTTTGCAGAGACAATGGGTTCTTGGGGCAATATGGATGTAATCTTTTCTTGATCCTCTGTGTGCTGCTCTGAAACAGTATCACTGACCTGCATTCCTAGCTTACTCTGGTATTCCTGCTCAACTTGCCGAGCAGCAGAATCCAGGTCATGCTTTATAGCGTTATAGTCTGGTTTGAAGGAGATCTCTGCTTTACCTATCTCTGCAGGAACATGGACAACACTTTCCTCTTTCTCGCTTAACAAAGATACTTTCTCTTCCAGTCCAACTAGATTTTTCTCATCTGTGCTTTCCAGAGTTGAAGCAGGCATTGTTTTTTCATGCTCAGTGCCCTCAGAAGTCAATATTTCCTTAGAATCCATGTGCTCCTCACTTTTTTCTAACACGGTATCAAGTTTATCAATAGCTTTCCTCTCTTGCTCAAAGTCTTTGCCTAAAATTGCTGAATCAACAGAGGGATCTTTTTCTTCTTTGGATCTCTCGGCAGCTGCCAACTTCACTTCTATCAATGAGAGATCTGCAACGACACCTCTCCTAATTTTCTCATCAAAGGGGCAGCTCTCTCCTGTCAAGTTTTCACTGTCCTGGACAGGAGATGGCATTGGCACTGTGTATTTGTTGAAAACACAGTAACCTAAGTCTTCCAGTTGACTGTCAGCCTTTAATGTCATGTGGTTATCATCCATCATAAGGTGATGTATTGCACTGCTGTCCTCTACAACTGTCTCCGAAGGAATCGACTTCCTTTGTGCTGCCTCGGCCTCTGTACTCACAGATGCTAGTCGTGACCTTGTGCCAGCTAAGTCTAACATTTCAGGTAAGTCAGGAGCCATTACAGTCCCATTTTTGTAATAATCTTTAGCCAGGAAGGGTGACTCACACAGAGGCTCCACTTGGATTTCACCCCCTTCTTTTTGTTTTGCCTCCTCAGTCTTCTCGTCTTCTTCCCTGCTCTCTGATGGGAACTGGGGAGTTTTTTCTATTGCTGGGGTGGTAGCTGGCAAATAATCCTCACCTTCATCCCCACTAGCATTATCTAGAATATCTGAGCCTAGAGGCGAAAGGTCATGCGTACGTCCAAAATTAAACCCAAGTGCTATAGAGTCCAAGCAGGACATGGGCAGATTAATGGACATACTCCTTTGCTCTATGGCAGATCTTCCACCAAGCCCTAAACTTCTGCTTAGAGTTAGGTCATCTTTATTTTTGCTGTGGAGTTCTCTCTTATCCCCATACACTTTGGGGTCAATAGTGTACATTCGTTCTGTAGGAGAGCTAGGTTCCCTAGATTCATCTTTGGGGAATCCCTGAGCAAGACTACTATAACCTATTTCATGAGCAGGCATACTGGAATGCTGGTAGGTCTCTGGCTGATATTCCTCAGTGTCTTTTTTAGATACAAGGAAATCTTTACAATAAGGATCATAGGTCTCTTCCTTAGTATCACTTAGTTCATAGTAATCACTGCCTTGCTGTAGCATGTCACTCTTGATAGCATCCTCCTTAAGATTAGACGTCTCAAAATATGTAGACATCCCTGATTTATCCTCTTCTAGATGCATTTTTAGCATTTCTGAATCTGCAACAGAAAGCACTTCCCCCTTCCTAACCTTTCCAGAATCTTTCCCTTCGAGAGAGTCTTTACTTTGTTCAGTAAGGGGCTCCTCTATGGTTTTAGACAATACAACTTTATCTAAGGTCTCTTCTAATTTTTCTGGAAACAGTTCTTGCTCAAATCTATCTGTGAAGCTTGCCATGCTGTGCTCTTCTTCTTTTTTAATAGTCCATGCTGTTGAATCATGAGAAATCTCCAACTCCTCTGCTTTACCAGTTTCAAAGGATTTGTTCAAATCTCTTTCTTCTCCCATTATGTCTTTATTCAGAACAGTTGTGTGTTGGTCATGAGCTGCAAAACTTTTATCATCTAATTCTCTGGGCTTTTGTCCAGTAGAAACAGAGTACCCCTCTTCATCACTTTCATCTTCTGTCATATCCTTCTCTTCCTCCCAAAGAGGAACACTCTGGACGGGTGATTGCACTACAACTGGTTGAGAGGCAGGCGTAATCACCACTGAAAATTCTTCTTCCTGGTTTTTTACCTGCTCTTTGTCCCTCTTTTGGTCTTTTGGAAGGTCTTTGGCAATGTCTGTAGGTGTAGATATTTGCATCAGTTGGTTACTATCTTCTGTGTCGGATTTAGGTAGAACAGCTGGCAAAGCATGAGAAGAAAGGGCACTTTCAACTACCTCTGTTCTGCCTCCTGTTGATTCTGAAAGCAGGGAAGAACCTATTCTTTCAGGAGGAGCAAAGTCACTTTTCCCCCCATCAACTTGATCTTTAGATTCTAAAGGTACTGTTTCGCTGGCAGGTTTCTTTTCATCTGTTTCACTTTCTCTGTGCAAATCCTTTTGTTCTTGATGCAGAGACAGTGATCCTCCAGCAGAATCAGAATCTGATTTGTCTTCTTTCCTTTGTAGACTTGCATCCAACGCCTGTTGTGGCAGAGCTGGAAGCGTCTTCTCTCCTTCTTTGCCCTGTGGTTCTGCTTTTTCTACAGTCTCTCTTTTTGCTGGCTGTGGTGCTAAGGCATCATGTATAGGTTGTTCACTAGTCTTACTTCCTTTCTCTGATCCCTTTGTGCCTAATGGGTCAGCCGTGAAAAGGTCTGTCCCTTCCTGGACATGGATTTCCATCTTCGAGGCTGCAAGTAAATCTGTAGCTGTTTGATTGGATTTTACAACAGATTACTTAAAAGCATCTACATGCAGCAGCAAACTGATTTATAGCATCATTTGGCATGGCAGAATGGTAAAAATATGGCCACATGCAACAAGGGTTCCTATTTAGAAGTTTCTTACTGTTCAGCATTTTTCCCCACTCTTATTTTAGAAGGAGAAAGTTTTGCAAGTATCTTAATAACAATTTGTACTTTACACTTAAACTAGCTTTCCCCAATCTGATGCCAATGCTGACTGGGGAGTATGGAAGTTGTAGTCAAACATATTTTCAGGGTGCCCACCTGGGACAGGCTGAAATTATCCTATCTACAGTAAATAAGGCAACACATTTTTTTTCCTCTTCCACAGCTCAGTTCCTCCACAATCATTACAATTTTTTTAAAAAAGCCAATTTCATGTTACGGTGCTTCATTATATAGTGAAGATGATATAAATTCTGATTTAGAGTCATATGGAGGTATCATCATCATCATCATATTAGAACTGCAGAGCTGGAAGGGACCCTCTGGATCACCAAGTCCAGCCCCAGTCAAGGAGGCACAGCGGAGGAATTGAACTCTCAACCTCTTACCTAAACCACTGAGCTGTCCAGCAGCTCTAATGACTAGAAATGTGCAGTAAAAGTATTATATTTAGTATTCAAATGTCTAAATCAATTTAAGGGCCTAATTCAGTTTGTTTGATTTCTACCAAACAACCATCACAAATATATAGACACATATATAGATAAGTAATGTATATAACCATTTCCACTTGTAAAATGAGATATAACATTCACTCTCCCCCAAGTCTAAAGAAAACAAAAAACACAGATTATTGTCATGAAACTCTTCTCCTAAAATGTGACCCGAGGCCTGCTTTTCTCTCTATCTAATATTTAAGATTTAAAAGAAAAGGTGAACACTTAAGAGTTGCTCAAACAAAACCAACAAAATTGCAACTTCTAACACATTGCTGAAAAAGCTAGGCTTATGTTTTCTGATTTAAAATACAGAAATGGTAATTCTTAATTTGGTTATGCTCTTTGATAGCATTCTATATAATGATGTCTTTCTTCAATATTTTATGAACTGATCAATTAGACTTCAATTCTCCAGCCAGTTATTTGGCCTGTACAATGCCATCTCCTTCATCGTATTTTCCTAAGGACTATCTATTTACATGTATCTTAGAAAACATATTCTAAAAAATCTGGCAAGCTTCCAAGTTCCCAGTACATATAAGTAGTTCAGTAGGAAAGCAATCTACCTTTGCAGTCAGCAAAGAAACAGTTCATTATTTTGAAGGAAGAAAAAATGACACATCATTAACACTACAGACTTCTGCATATTTACTTAGGTATAAGTTCCAGGGACCAGTGGCACTTACTCCTAAGTAAAGGTACTGTATACAAGACTGGGCTGCAAAAACTAATAAACTTTATTACTGGACTCCTTGTGAATTTAGGAACAGGAAACCGAAAGATAATTAATCAAAACCAGGAGGATGCTTCCATATTTCTGTTGTAATGACCAAGTATACTATATAGTTACCCTCTCCAACACAATACAATCAAAATCAATCTCAGTGGCGAATTACCACAAGTTAAGACATCACTGTAGAGAGTTGATGTTGCATACTGCGTCGTGTGACTTGGTGCACAATAGCAAATGCCTACACTGACATCTCAACTTGAGGCAATTCACTGCCAAAGTTTACACCAATTGCATTGTACTGGGCATAAAAGCGAAATAGGATTCTGGCCAATGTGTCATATTTGATTTATTTCCATAAATGCTCCCCTTTGCAACATTGCCATTTTTAATATGATTTCATAACTTCACTTTAGCAGACAGACTGAAGAAGCCCAGTAACGAATTGCATAGGGAGTGCCCTGAGACAAACCAGTTAAAATCTATGGGCTATGATCCAGAGAACCTGTTCCAAATGGGGAAACAGGCTTCCTCATGCAGAGCAGCTGTTCTACAAGCAATCCAGGCTGCCAGTAGAAGAACGCTGCACCAGAAAAAACAAAAGAATTTCATGTAGCAAATGCACCATATGTCACACACAGTTTTTTCGTAAACAAATGTGCTGAAAAACTCCAGAATTCTGCCTCCAACAGTGGGTAGCCAAGTCCCTTTTGGAAGTCCACCGTTTGGCTAGGATGTGAGTAATACGGATGCTCCGTTTTCAGCTCTCATGGTCAATAGCCGCTCAACAGCCGATCCACTCTGAATTTGACTAATCTCTTAAAATAGCCATTCGAGATAGGGACTACCACTGTATCAATGACAAGGAATCCCACCAATTATTTGCACAGAAAACTATCCCTCTTTGTTCTGAACCTACTTAAGATTACTCCAGATTACTTGAGTGAGTTGATACAGTAAAGCATTTCTCTGTACTCACTTTCCGTAACATTAAAAAGTACCGTATTTTTCGCACCATAGGACACACTTTTTCCCCACAAAACAGGGGGTGGTGGTGGAAAGTCTGTGCGTCTTACGGAGTGAAGAAAACAGATTATATTTTCCTGTTTTCTTCTCCTAAAAATTGGTGTCTTATGGAAAGGTGCGTCTTATGGAGCGAAAAATATGGTATGTTCTCTGGAGCAGAAGGCAACTGTGTACACACTTCCCCCTGGTTCAATTTTACAGTCGTTGTATGACTCGTCACCTGTTTATGTGACGGGTAACATGATGGCCTGTCAGAGCAGTGGAAAAGCTCATGGCCCTTGAGTCCATGAATAAAGTACTGTGCTGCTGTGGTTAAACTGCAGTGCTGCAGTCAAGCCTCTGCTCATGATCTGAGTTAAGTCCTGATGGGTTCAGGTAGATGGCTGAAGGTTGCTCAACCTTCCATTCTTCCAGTAAACTGGTTGGTAACCTGAGTACCCAGCTCACTGGGAGACATGCGGTTCCTTGAAAGCTTACATTGTAAACCAGGCCATTCTCAATGGGGGCCATAAGGCCCCTTGGGGGGCCCTGGCACATTTGAAGGGGCGTACACACTGGAAACAAATCTTTACACACCACCTTATGAGATTTGTTATGCAACTTATAAAATCCTGATTCAGCCTATATTTCTTTCATATTGTGTTTATGCCCGTGGCCAAAAAAAGGTTGAGAATGACTATTGTAAATCGCCCAGAGAGTGCTCTAAGCACTACGGGGTGCTATATAAGTCAAAGTGACAACAATATCTGTCATGGTCTTTATAACCTTTTAAACCTTTCCCCATCCTTATAGAAGATATTTCAACTTTTAGTAGATATCATTTTGACAGTCACAAAAATTAAGTCGACATGTGTCATGAGATATTTGCTGTGAACTCTTCCCCTCTCCCAATAATGCTTTCCTAGGGACGTTACTGACAGTTTAGACCACAGAAATGAATATGGGGCATTATTTTTCTCTGCCCATGTGTACAGTTTTGCAGAGTTATGCTGAATCTTATTGGCCATTTTGCTGTCTCGTATTGAAAGTAGGAAAGATTATTAAAATTATTTTTAATCTGATCAAGCTTTTACTGCATTACAGTGTTACCTCTAAAATGTAAGCACCTCCCTGTTTGCCCCAACCTATCCTAATTTATGCTGGTATAGTTTGGTGACATTGGGGACCATACTCATACTTATGTTATTCCACTATAAACACTAATGTCCTCTGCTATTAGTGGAATCTGCAAATTATTCCCATTGAAGTGTCTCATCAAAGGTCTTCAGTGAAACTTAATGAAACTCCAGACTCAGAGGACAGATGTTCATATAAAACAGTGATTGATTAAACAACAGGTAGCAGAGGTCACTATTGATAGGATGTGTTGGAGGAATGTTTTCCCTTTCTTTCCTTTCTTTAAGGGATCAGTAGCAGCCCTTGAGAGCAGAGTTACAATGGGACTAAAGCAGTGGAAGGAGCTGATCCTCTCTTCATCAGTTTCCCAATCAAAATCACATGCCATCCCTAGGTAAGTGCTATTTGTCCTGTATTGACCTGGAAAGGAGGAATTTTAATCAGGAAAACAGTGTAGGAGATTTTTTTTAAAAAGTTAACCCTGAATCACTGTATTCCCAATTCAAGTCTCCCTATATATACTTCTTACTGACTGTTTTTATTTTATTTTATTTTGTTTTTCTTTTTCAAAGAAGGAGATTATATCACATTTAGTTTGTGCCTATATGCTTCTCGATGTTCTCAGGGGATTATAAATGAATAGAATTAAGGAAGACAGAAGCCATGCTGATTTTTCTTCTCCCAGCAACATCTGTTCCCATCAACATTCACCCAATTTGGTGCCCTGAAAATGTGTTGGACTACAACTCCCACCTCACTGGCAATAGACCATGGCAGCTGGAGCACTGTGCTCATGGAGTTCAGCTATTTTACCTTAATTGAGCTTTCATCAATATTGATAGAATGGAAGTTAGGCTGAATTCTTGAGCAAATATCTTTTCAAGGGCTTCACAAAAAGGTGCAAAGAAATTTGAGAAGCTGCACAGACCTCTGGATGGCAGCCTCATTCAGCCAACCAGGTATAAGCAATATAATTGAAAAGGCCAAATCCTGAACCTTTGATTAATTTCTTCTTCAATTAAGAGTTTTGGTATGGTCTGCTTGAGTTAGTGATGTAAAATTTCTCTCTTAGTGTCTAATCTTGCTCTTAATTATGCTGTCCAAAATATAATTGGCATCCAAGGGGATTTTCTTCCCACGCTAGAGTTTCAGCCTGGGTCATCTGCTTGTAAGAAAGGTGAAGTACATGAAAACTCAAAATTCTGGCAATGGCAAAGGAGGGTCACAGTGGAACCGCAATGAATGGCAGAGATATGACATAAGAAGCGCAGCCTTAAGGAAATTGAGCTAAAATACACTGAAGCACAAGCAAAAATACATTTGCGCACTTGCAAACAAACAAAAATTAGAAATAAGCCTCTTTATGTCAAAGTCAGGGTTAATTAGTTTGTTTCTTGAAATGAAAGCAGATGAGCTTCTGCACCATAAACAAAAGAAATATATCACACACAGATCAGCAATGTGACTGGCAAACATGTCTGCAATGAAAAGAGAGGGTAGACTTTGAAGGACATCAGGCTGGCTGCAAAGCATACTGTGTTATGGGTGGAAAACTTTTTTTTTTTTGTAATGTCCGGAATCAGCTGCAATGGTGAGAAACCATGTCATCATACGGCAATTGGCTTGCCTGTTAATGCACTCTTCAAGCATAATAATAAGAGCATTAATCATGAGAACAACAATCATGGGGAGAAGGGTAAATGGAACAGAGACTGGAAAAAAACTTAAAAGCAGCTCATATGCAGCCAACACATACAGGTCCTGAAGGAGGACACACCTTCCTCACCCAAGGAAGGTAATTTTGCTTTCAAGGGTTCCTCCTCCATTGTAAGTTCACTTTCCCCATTGCGAGCCACTTGGTCTTCAGGAATGGAACCCTGCTGGGTGGCCCTGAAGCCCTCTACTTGTTGCAAGGGGTCAGCAACAGGCCCACATGTTCCCTCACATTCCTCTGCACCAAGAAGAACCATAGGTTTGGATTCATCCGTCACTTGACCTCTAGCTGTTGTTTCATCTTCTTCTTTTTTTTCTTCTTCTTCTTCTTCAGGGGAGCAGGAGGAAGGGGGGAGAGGATGGAAAAATGAGGCAACATCTTCAAGACTAACACACAATACAAGATGCAGGCATGTTACCCAGTTGGTCCTACACAACATTTTCAGCTCTGTGCAAAGTTGTATATTTCTTAGCTGTTTTCCCACTCAAAGGTTTATGAAATCAAGATGGCTTGCATTGCGTTTTCTTTAAAAGGGTGTGCCATTTCTACAGTGAACCACTCAATTTATTATACCAAGGTATTTCTTTTTCTGCCTTGAAAACTGTGGTCCAGTTTGGTGACATGTTGCCCAATCACTAAGCCATTATTTGACAAATGAAGAAGACCTACACATCTGCACACCCCTCCTTTTCACTCTTATGTCTCCTTTGAGGGGGGGGGTCATGGTTATGGCTCAATTTTACATAGGGAGTGAAATTACCATAATTAACCAACACTAAGCTGCTTTAATACAAAGGAATAGACAATGCTGGTTCATTCTCTAGTTCCCAGAAAATATGGCTATGCTAGTTCAGACATAATACTGAACCAGGTGTAATGCTCATAGGGACAAAAGGGAAGGAAACTGTGAACTCAATGGGAAAGAAACAGCCCATAAAGCCCACAGAACACCTCCAGTTGCCAAAACATAATTTCAGGCAGCATCATTCCCAAACCACACCCATGCTTCATTTTTAGAAGAAAGATGGAGCTGAAAATGTTTTATTGTTCCCAAAGTGGAAACGACTGCACCAAAATGTTTGGGCTAAATTAACCATAGAAATGGAAATGTTTGGTGGTGATAGATGGTTCTGAAAAAAGATGCATCTATAGTCAAAACAAAATTATATTTTTGATTATTGCATTATGCTAAGATATGGCAGCCTCTGAAAACTCTCCAGAAGCTACCGGTGGTTCTGAATGTGGCAACAGGATTTCTGACTAAAATAGGGTGTATAGAGTGTTTAACTCTGATTTTGTGTCTGCTTTGTTGGGTCGGTTGCTTTAAAAGCCCACCATAAAGTGCTGTTTTTGACTTTTAAACCTCTAAGTGAACATCTCTATGTGCTCAGGTGGTCTTTGAAGGACTGGGTCTCCAATATGTAGCAGCCTGCTAGGCAGCTTAGAGGTGTCTCACCAGCAGTGCTTAGAATATAAAACACTGTTGCTGCAGAAATTCCAACGCCAAATTAAGACTCTATATTTTTTGGGTGGAAAAACTTACGAAGTAACTGAGAATGATCCTTCTCTCAACTTAACACTTCTTTTTAGACGGCTGTGGTTCGTGGCCAAGATTCAGTGGTGTATCTCTGATGGGACTTGCTGCTTCTGCCAGCATCAGCAATATCCACTCCCTCTGGCAGATCATTTCCGCCCCTGAAAGACCTAGCTGGGAAACTCTCTGGAATTGCTTCTATGTCACTGAATGCTGCAGCAGGAGGAGGAGGAAGGGGAGATAGCACTGGACAAAGAGGTACACCACTGGACCTTGGAAAAACGGGGGGTTGAATACTGAAATGGAAATAGGATAGATAAATATGCACCCAGCAAAAGATGTATTGGTGAAGGGTTAAAAAGACACACTGACATTGTGATGTAGCACTTAACTGTGAGTGACCAAATACATGACTGAAACATTTTTTTAAAAAATGGACACAACAGGAAGCAGTGTGCACCATGCTGGCTTTCTATAGAGGCTTACTGTATCATTGCTACACCTTTAGAGTTCAATATAGAGATTGTATGTACTGCAGTGAAACTCAACAGCCTAACCTTTCATTCAGCAATACACACTGAAGCAATTTAAAAAAAAAAAACAGATTTACTGCAAGGAATTGAAGAACAATAAACAAAGGATTTTCTTCCCCTAAGAACTACTGTAGAAGATGTAAAGAGAAAGTGAATAAGGCCTGTATGCATTCATAATATAAAGAATATTTTCTATTATCTATACAAAATAATACATGCACCTTAGAAACTAGTCTGCCATACCAGTTAGAAAAGATTCGTACTGTATACACGTAAAACAGATCTTAACTCATTCTGTTACCATAACCTCATTTCACGGAAGGTGCAACTTCATGCTGCAAAAAGTTTTCAAAATACAGAGCTGCCCTTTCCACAGGTGGTGGACCTATACCTGCGGAATGGGGATTCTGCCCTCCCGGCATGTATCATGCTAAAACAGACATGGAATATGATAACATTTAATCGAGTCACAAATGGCAGAAATGATGAAAAAATGAGGAACTAAATCTTTATGCTATTTTATATAGTGGAAACATTTATGATAAAATGATGAAATACAATACAGATATAAATCTTTATGCCTTTTTCAAAAAGCTTGGCACATTAACATACTGTGATTTCAGTAAACCACCATCAGAAAGCAACAGCAAACCATAATTTCTTCTTAGTCAGGAATGGAATTGTTAAATCTTTTCTCCTCATTCATGGAAGGGAAAAGAGAGCATTCAAACTTGAACATGTTCACAACCATCTATTATTATTTGTGCAAAATTAATTCTAAACAGACCACAAATAAACTGGAGAACATTGTGTTACAAATTCTTTGTTTCAACAGGCAATATTAAATCAAACAGAAGCTTTCTCTTTCATTCTTCTAGAAAGTAAAAAAAAAGCAAATATTGGACAAAAGTTTGTTCCTTATTTGTGCCACACTGTTATTTATTTATCCTTCTGATATATAATATTAAGTCAACCATAGTTAGATAAAACAAATTCTCTCATCCCACTAAAGTAGATACAAATGGTCACTCCTAGAGATAATTTCAGAATGTGCACAACTATCTTGAAATTTGTCCTAATGAGCTTCATAGTCAATTGGAAAATACAGAGCATTGGGATCCCTGCCTAAAAATAAGTGAACGGTAAGTCAAGGCTGATACCACATCTGGTGGTGTTCACTATCTTGGTTTGTTTCATTTCAACATCTATATGAATTTGCTGAGCTTGGGAAAAAATGATACAGGAAGGTTTTCTATTTCATCTTGCAAGTGGCATGGACGTTCAAAGGATCACATTAATTCCACAGTGCCCCCACTGTTCTCAGCACAGAGCAAGGTATTACTTTAAATGTCAGAAAGGTTACAAAGGAAATTTGTGATGAGACACAGAGGTATAATAAATAAAGAGAAAAATGGCATGCCTTGTGCACACTTTACTACTTCTCTGATTCCTTGTCATAGACAATACAGGAATAGAAATTGAATTCAGTAAGGAAATCAAAGTAAGAATTTGTTGAATAACCAATGGAATCCTGTTGATATTATTGTAATTTCTACCAGCTAACTGCAATTAATTGATAAGGTGCTGGGGCCACATCTCGGTTACACAACCAGGCACATGGCTACACATACAATTGACATGCATTCTGGCACCTGACAATTAGCCATAATTAGCCATAGCAAATTATGAAAAACCTATGTGAATACCAATAGGCTTCAAGCCAGCAGGCATTTTTAATTATTTTCTTCTCTTTTATAGTCAGATAAACTGCACGTACATAATACAATGACGAAAAGTTGAACATGCAAAAAGGCATCATGATGGCCATGCTACTTATAAATATAACAATGTTCGGGCACGTTTCCAAGTCTCAAATTTTTTAAAAGGCATGTGATATTTCTAATGCATCATACCATATGATTGCTATGTCAGGATATGCATGATTGATACTTGCTGTATTGCATGCATATTACTCCCAGTAACATTTTGAACTGGTTGTAGTGCTGCCTATCTTAGCAAAAGATACTAAGTATTTTTTAAAAGGGGGTCTAGATTTCTCCTGAAGCAACCAACATGAATTTGACACAACTCCGGGAGGCAGTGGAAGACAGGAGGGCCTGGTGTGCTCTGGTCCATGGGGTCACAAAAAGTCGGACATGACTTAACAACTAAACAACAACAACAACAGATTTCTCCCATTCCCCCCCCCCTTTTTTTGAGGGAAACCCACAAGGAGCTGACCTTCGGAGGCTCAGGGGGAAGAGTATAAATAGCTGAAGGATGGTTATACTGGCAGGTCAGGGAAAATCCCAGGGCATATTCCTGATAGACATGAGTTTGTAAAGATCATAGAGAAAACCTTGACAGGAGGAAAATGAAAGCCTAAAAAGTCAGGCTTAAACCTGAAATATAGCAACCCTGGATACAAATGATGAAATTAATGTGGTGCGTGAGGCTGGAGGAGAAAAGAAAAACAGAGGGACCATGCTTTGTTCACCTTCACATCTTAACAAGACCTCTCCACTTTGGGCTCTGACACTATGTTGTGTACCAGCTTCAGTCCATTCAGAGCTGAATAAAAGGTGCTCATAATTCTCCTCATCTGAATTGTAGGGTTCATCATCAGGCACAGACACAGAAATGGAGGGAGTGAGGAAGTGACACCTCTCCCCTGTGACAGCTGACCCATACCTGGGGCCATGGTGAAGAGGTCCCACCTCATCCTCAGCTCCTTCATCTATAGGCAGACATACAGAAAGAAACTGCAGGGAGAACTTGGACAGACATAAATGACAGAATGGAAACATGCACACTTGTACTAGGCATTGATAACATCATGGGATGGCAGAAACCAACCATACGAAGCTCAGTGTGTAATCTTGAAGGCACAATGTATGGATTTAATGCATTGTAAACGTTAATGCATTTGTTATTTATTCTTGCAGGAACAGTAAAGAAAACTTAGATATTTGAGGGATGCAAACACATTCAAGTGCCAAAACAAGTATTTCATTCAAAAAAACATGATGGATCAATGGTGTAATATGAACATTCTAGGAGTTGGATGCATGACTTCCCTTCTGTTAGCAGACAATCCCTACACCCAATGTTTGAGGAATTCCCCTCATAATTCACCACATTCAGCAGTGCTCTGTGTTAGATTTTGGGGCACTTCAACCATGAGATGAAGGGTAAACCCATTCCTGCCAAGCCAGTTGCAGGTACCTAAATCTGGCTCCAGCCATAGATATGAGTCAAGAACAAATTTGCCATAGTATGTCCCACAATCACATTTTATAATAGAAGATAATCTGGACGCAGAAATGTATTTGTCAAAGAAGCA